CGGGGGGGGGGGGGGGGGGGGGGGCACTCCTGCTACCCTAGCTCTAGTACGGAGCGGGTTGCAGTGAGCATGTGCCAGCCGGGGATAAACAGCCAACAAAACAGTGGTAGCTAAATAGTAGTGGGGGTTCTTCCTTGGTGCCTGTGCTTGCTATTTTGGGGATAATCAGAATAATCGCGGCGGGGAACCTTATCCCGGTGGAACCTGACCACGCGCGCGAGGGTCTTCGCTAGCAAGCTTCACCTTCGTTGCCGTGAGCTTCCTCTGGAGCTGCCCGATGAGGCGGTCGTCATCGCTCCGGCTCTCCAGGTCGGACACGGTTTTCCGCAGCTCAGCCAGCTCATCCTCTGTATCCTTGCGCTGAGGAAAAGCCGGAACGACAAGAATACCAAGGACAGGGTCAAAGGGAAAACCGTCATGGTAAGAAGAACGAATAAGAGTCGTCCTCTGTATCCTTGCGGCTAGAGAGTCTGGAATGATAGAGAAAGAACGGAGTTATCCTTTGTACCCTTGCGCTGAGAGAAGCCGGCACAATGAAAAAAGAGAGACAAGAGGCCGAGGGGGTGAGAAACATCAACAACAGGTTAGCAGTTGCGCTACGATTACCGCAACAGCGCGAGTCATGGCACCAAAAACATCGGTTGCAAACAAAGGCCCGCTCACCCCCCCTCTTCCCCCCACGCGTTCTCCATCACACGGACCCCCAGCCCCCTGATTCACGTACTTGGTGGTTCAGGGCAAGAGTCTGCTCGGAAGCGATGTCGGCGATCTCTTTGTGCCGGTCGGCTTCCAAGGCCAACGCCTCCCCCCGTACCAACTCCGCCTCCAGCCTCTCCTCAAGAGACTGCGCCTGCTCGCCGGTTAGGCCGCCCTCGAACCGGTTCTGAACCTGAACCACGGGGGATAGGATAGGAAACAGCGGTGTTGTTAGTGTCGCCAGTTAAGCTACCCTCGAACCGGCATTGAGCCTGGACCACGGGGAACAGGATGGGGGAAAATGCGGTATACTTAGTGCGTGCTGCGGGAAGAAGACCGGGAGGAAGCTCGGAGGAGCAGGAGCGACGTGTCTTCTAGGAAAGCGCGGCCGCTGCGGTCGGGTTGGGACGATACGGTCGCCCCGACAAATCCGGCTAGGAAAGCAACGAGCGTGAACGAAGACGTAGCACCTCAACTGGCGATACAGAAACAACGACGGAGAGAGGATAGGGTACCAAGACGTAGCGATTCAATTGGTAAAAGGAAACAACGCTAAAGAGAGACAAACAGTACCAAGACAGAGATATGAGATACGGAGGGCAGAGGCGTAGAGACAAGGGACAGAGAGACAGAGAGGAAGATAGAAGGGGTGGGAGAGAGACATATGGAGCACGAATGAACCGTATCTAGCCGCCGGGTGTATATCTCGAGCCAAGGAATGCACACAGCGGTCGACCATGCCGTCAGTGCAGAAAACGAAACAGTGACTATCGCTTTAGCAGGGACGACCTACAGTCACGTACAGCACATAAGTTTCTGGTCCCCCACTGATGTCTATCTGGTGCCCTGCGGAAACGCCGAGAGCACCCAAGCCTTACGGGGCGTACATCAGTCCACAACAGCAGTAGGCACACAGGAGTGGCCCACCTCGAAAGAAATGCTTGTTGAGCGGGTGGTCAACGTCGGAAGAAATGCCTGGCCAGTGATAAAAAAAATTACCAACCCCAACGTCCCCCCCCCCCCCTTGCCATCGGGATTGGGTTTTCGTCGCTTGGCAACGACGTTGTAAAACAAGTCAATTCACTTCGTGAACTCGGCAACCAGGTTACCGTTTGTTTTTTTTTACCTCTGTTTTGTTTTTGGCGGTAACCATAATGGTGGTCGAGTAGATCATGTTGTGCGGGGTGGAGAACCCTCACTCCGCGCAAGGGGGATGATCGCACCACGTTATGTTAAAATGGTCAAGCACCCTCGAGGCAGTTACGCAGTGCTTATAACTGTCTCTGGAAGTGAAAGCACCAGAAAATAAATTAAGTCATACGCAGCTGTCATGCGTACGCAAGGAAGTAAGCACAAGATGCCGAACACCCTTAGCAGGATGCAGCGCACCCTTCATGTGACTCGCCGAACACCTCACGGCGCTTCGCGCTTGGTGATGTGAGAGCCTGGTCCGGTGAGAACCCGACGTGCTCCGTCCCGGCTTTGTAGGGATGCGAGGTCAATGGTCAAACGACTACGGCATGCACGACTATGAGTACACCCCCCCCCAACGACGTATGCATGTGACAAACGAGAGCGTCTCTTGCCACACACACAACTTGTTGCCGTCCAGCGCAATAACCCTATACCTTGATGAGCTCTGCAGCAGCCACCTGGGCGTTCTGCCGCGCTTCCCTCTCGCGGGCCTCCAGGCTAAGCGCGCGCTCCTTGACCGCGCGGCACTCCGCATCGAGCGAGGCCACCCTTCTCTCGGCCATCTCCGCCCGCCTCGCCGCCGCCGAGCGCTCTACCTCCGCCTTGGCGCACTCGCCTGCGACGGCGAGGTGGCGGGAAGATATAGAGAAAACGAAGCGGGAGCGCGGATACTCATGTTTTGCATGCCTTAGACCGCACGTCCTCGAGAGGACAGAGCACAATCGGGACAGATCACCGATGGCCAATCGTTCCTTCCTACTTTGCAAAAGGTGGCAAAATTCTATCCTTTTGTATCGATGTCAAGAGCACACGAAGCGGGGAACTAAGAAAGGTGGGAAAGGAGAGAGAGCCGGTAGGACACAGGCGTGTGTACCAAGAGCCAAAAACTCGACGCTCAATGTTTCGGGGGGGGGGTGGGATAGAGACACAGAAAACAACGACAGATACAGGAGCAACAGCGCTAGTGGAAGCGAGCAACAACAAGGAGGCGAAGGCGAGCGCAGTAGCGATTGACCAACCTTGGTGCTTGGCAACCTCCGCAAGGAGCCCGGAAAAGTCCGCCTGCGTAGCACCGCCGGCGACGGCGGCCACCTGGGCGCTCGCCTCCTTCGCCGCAGCCTTCCGAAAGAAAGAAACGCAGAGGAGGGCACGGGGGGAGACGTGGAGAGGTGCGGTGCGTGTGTGCGTGTGTGTGAAAGAAACTACACAACAGTGTCCCCGAAAATGTGCACGGGCAACAGAAAATAAGACGAAACTGCTCTCTTGTGTTTCGGGGTGGAGAACGTTGTGGTAGGCTTTTGGGCATAGTCGCCAAAACGACCTCGCCGAGATAATATTTTATCTCTCACTGCCACGGGCAATCACCTCTGCGCGTGCGTCAGCCTTCTCCAGCCTCAGGTTGGCTTGCTGCGAGGTCTCTTCAGCGGCGGCCAGGCTGGTCCTCGCCGAACACAGTTCTTCGTCCAACTGCCGGACTCGCTCGGGCAGTCCCCGCAGCTTCGTGACCTTCTCAGGACACGGAGGCAAGCAGGACCGAAGGCATGGGGAGGGGGGGTGTACTCATAGCCGTACATGCCGTAGTCGTTAGGCCATGGGGG